GTGCTCAGGGGAGAGAGCGGGAAGAGGTCGGGCAGGGGTGAGGGCTTGGAGGAAGGGGTGGAGTGGCGACGGGCCTGGGGCAGAGTTGGGTGTTGAGCACCCCCAGGAAGAGAGGAAGTCGGCGCCTGTGGCTTTGTCCCACTGTACTGGCACCTAGACCATCTAGTGATTAATGAGTCTGCTGCAGCCTTAGCTAAGAGGCATGTGGCTTTTCGCTCATGCATTTAGCTTCAGAGGTCCCAGGTTCAATCCCACCTGCCGAGGTCTGTCAGCATTACATGTGCATTGCTGGACCTGCAGCCATAGCATCACGTAGCCTGATTCCATGGTCTAAACGGCATTGGAGCCGATGAGATCTTGGATGGAAGATGACATGGTGCTGGTGGTGTTCTTCCTCTGAATCAATGGCAAGCATCATTATTGCCAAGCCCGCATCGTGAACCAGGACCCCACTGCACTAGCCGCTGTACGAACACCCAACAAAAAGATGGTGCCTGTCCCAAAAAGCTTCCAGCCTAAATCTAAGATGAGGGGCCGGGGTGAATACAACAGACAGACGAGGGCAGCACAAGGAGGTGATGCTGGTCAGTATGATAAACAGCACTCACAGCACGCCAGCCATCTGACCATGGTCAGGTGTTACGGAGGTCTCGCAGCAGAGGAGCATTTGCAGGAGGACACTGGTGGTTCTGGCGGATGCTTCTATTCTTTCCCTCTGAAGCACCTGGCACTGGCCACTGTCAGAAGACAGAACGCTGGGCTAGCTGGACCATTGGTCTGATCCAATACGGCTGTTCTTATGTTCTGGTTGGACAGGTGTGTCACCTATAGTCTTGCTGGTTTTTGACTCCCTATCAGAAGACTGTAGCGAATAATAAGAATTTTTAATGATAGAGTTTAAACTAAAATGAGAGGTTTCCTCGCTAATTTTATGCTGACCATGAATGAATGGTGAACCAGTTTGCCTCCCAGTTGGCAGGTTCCCGAGCAAACATGGTAGGATGGTTGAAAGGGAGAGAGCAAACAGTACAGTTCAAACCCGCATGCTGCTATGGCCGGTGCTGACTTTCAGATTAGATGTGCAACAGAGACCTCGACCATTAAAGATCCCATGGCACTGTCTTGGAGTGTTAGCCTTGGTGCCTGACCCAGATTGCAGTTCAGATCATTATTGTCTGCCTCACACAAATCCCCCCTGTAGTTTCCACTGGATAAGGTATTATCCCTCAGTTTCTCCACTTTGGTGTACTTTTTGGATGGAGATTACATAGTATTACTGTGCAGAGTCATAAAGCTTCTCTGTTCCCAGGACCCCAGAAGTTGCTGCATTTCAGTGTGGGGTAAAATGTTTCCTTTGATATGCACAGGGCCAGATTCACCATGGCTCCTGCTTGGTTAGGCGCAATAGGGAGGAGAGGCCTTGCTGGCTTCACAAAGGCCAGATAGAACTGCAGACCCCCGTTCTGGGCAATGAATGCTAGCTGAGACTGAACCCTTGGGGTTTTACATTCAGGGGGCATTGGTATCCCTGCTGCGTACATGGTGCCCTTCCTTGCCAATATGTTTCTCACTAGTCTCTCACCTTTCATTCCCCAGGTATTATGCAGACATTGCAAAGCTCCCAGCCATCAGTGACCAGGATATGAATGCCTACCTCGCAGAGCAGTCGCGCCTGCATGCCATTGAGTTCAACATGCTGAGCGCGCTCAATGAGATCTACTCTTATGTCAGCAAGTACAGTGAAGAGGTGAGCAGGCCCCCACCCCCGGGCCACAGGATATGTTGCAATCCTGCCACCAAGCCACCTTAGACAGATAGAGTCCGTTGGGAGGTGGCTCTGGGTGTAAGTGGGATATGGGGCCTTTCACCTCTAGGTCGGCAGTTCAGTTCCACACTGGCTTGGTAGTGACTGAATCATAGAATATCAGGGTTGGAAGGGACCTCAGGAGGTCATCTAGTCCAACCCCCTGCTCAAAGCAGGACCAATCCCTAGACAGATTTTTACCCCAGTTCCCTAAGTGGCCCCCTCAAGGATTGAACTCACAACCCTGGGTTTAGCAGGCCAATGCTCAAACCACTGAGCTATCCCTCCCCCCTAAAGTCACCCTGGACAGGTGGTTAGCCCCAGTCCTGTTCCTGGCATGAATAGGCTTCTCCACATAGCACAGTTGGCTTCCTGGCTGGCAGTCTCAGAAGGGAGGCCAAAGACTGAATGGGGACTGGAGGCCAATTTCCCCCCTCATCCCTCAGAGCTGGTTGGTAAGGCAGCACGGTTGAAGCTTGCACTGCTGCTAGCAATGCCGTATCTGTGCTGTGCATCAGTAGGCGGTTTGGTCTCCAGAGGTGCCAGTGCAGCACATCCCATGAGAGCCAACCCCTTGAAGCATTGTGTGGGCAGCTCTGAATTCCTGATCCTGGGTGCCCCCTCGGTGCAGCCCACTTCCAAATGCAGGGGAAAATCGTCCTGCCCCAGCGAACCCTCTCACAAATTCCAGCATCCTCAGGGAACTTCCAATATGGCACAAATTTCGTGTCACAGCAAAGCTGGCAGCCTGGGCTCCTTTAATGAATGCATCACTTGAAACCAAGTTCTCGCCATCTGTTCCACCCCTTCATTTTCATTGTGAGAAGAACCTGTTTTGCAATTACATCCATTACAAGGAAGGTTTTTGTCATTTAATTGCATGTATGCATTTATGATACACTGCCACAGCCATCTTCCGATTAGGGACTAAAACCTCATAACTTTCATGCTAAATGAGACAGGGGATGTAGAGTCAACGGTACAAGAGCAGGGGAATGATTGTGTTGACAGTATAACATGCAGCAAACAGTCCAACAAATAAATCAGCATGGCTGGGAATGGACGAGCACTCGGTGCTTTGTTTGTCTTTCGTTAGTTAAGTTTCTTTGAAAGAACAAAACTAAGGGGAGGGATTGACAGCAACAGGCCAGCCTCAGCCCTCCAAGCGCGGAGAGCATTCCGATGGGGGAGTGACCCGTAAGCCGCAGGTGGCCCTCCCAACTCCTGGGCAAGGCTTGTACTGGCCCAGCTTCATTAACTTAGCCTGCCCCAAGTACTTCCGTTTTACCAGCTTCACTAACCCCTGCCACTGTGTTGCCCAGGGAAGGGAGTTCAGTACGCTGGACCCATCCTAGGTATCTTTGCTGCATGTTATCATTAACACCTAGGGTACGTCTTCACTTACCGGAGGGTCCGGCGGCAGGCAATCGATGTTCTGGGATTGATTTATCGCGTCTGGTTAAGACGCGATAAATCGATCCTGGATCGATCCCGGAAGTGCTCGCCGTCGACGCCGGTACTCCAGCTCGGCGAGAGGAGTACGCGGCATCGCCGGGGGAGCCTCCCTGCCGCGTCTGGACCCGCGGTAAGTCCGGACTAAGGTACTTCGAATTCAGCTACGTTATTAACGTAACTGAATTTGCGTACCTTAGTCCGAAGTGGGGGCTTAGTGGGGACCAGGCCCTAGAGTCCATCTCTGAGTATTTTTCTCTCTTTATTTATTTATTCCCCTCATCCTCCCTTCTTTCTGTTTCTCTCCTTTCTGGAACGTTTGCATTCATTGTGTTTATTTTGCACCAGATCATCGGGGCACTGGAGCAGGATGAGCAGGCGCGCAGGCAGCGCTTGGCATACAAAGTAGAACAGCTTATCTGTGCCATGTCTATCGAGAGCTGAAGAAAGGAGATGGTGCTCCTAGGACCAGGAGAAGGAACTAGTTACTCTTGGGAATGAAGAGTATGAACAAGCAAGGAAGGCACTGGACCCATATAAAGACTGAAACATCCTCTGGGGGAAGCAGGGATTGTCCCGGATATTAAGTTCAAAATCATTTAGATTCCAGTTTGAAAGGACAGCAAGAAGGACAGTGCATCTCAATGCAAAATAGGGTCAAGCTGGAGTCATTCTTCAAGTCATGTGTGTGGAAGGAAGGAACCTGAGAAGTCTGGATGCCTCCGTGACTGCTACTTTGCATGAAAATCATTTGATATATATTAGGAAATAATGAAAACTGTATTTAAAGGGTTTAAAAAAAGAGGGAAAGAGAAAAATTAAAGCAACCACAGTGGCCACACAGATAATTCAGCCAACAAAATTCAATTCCAAATTCTCTCTCTCTCTCACTCGTCCGTTTCCTGTGGTGTGTGGCTCAGACATTCTGCGAATAGACTCCTATGCTAATCCGAAAAATTGGAAAATGAAATTATTCCTGCTCCTGGGAACTTTTAAAAAATATGAGCACAAGTTTGCACCAAACCTTTTTACACAAAGGAAGATAATAGTTTAGCTGGAAATAAATCCAGTGGCACCAGAAAGAACTTGACCTGAATTACAGAACCATCAGATCATCTAACCTGTTTGTCTTGAAATCCAGCTTTATCTGTGTATTTATATAGTGTCAATATATAGATATTATATATATATTTTTCAAATCCCACTTACTGTTGAATGATGGTGGGTCTGATTTTAAACATTTTTCTCTTTTATTTCCATTCCATTTCAACACACAGCTCCACTCCGGTGTAAAGATTCCACGGTATTTTTGTTTGCTGCACTCGTGTTCCTGAAGAATGTTCTGCCCTTTGTGGCATTTGAAACTAAGGAAGTCATATACTGTTTAAACTGAAATTGGTGCATTGTAGGTTTCTACAGGTGCAATTTAAGCAAAACCAATTGGCTGATCTTGTACAGTCGAGCAGAGCTGGGCTGAGACTGACTTAGTTGCTTGGGCTGTTAGTTGACTAGCGTTATTTTGTTCCAGCCACAATGTGATTTCTTGCAGTAAAAAAAACAAACAAACTAAAACCAATGTTTACAGCAAGTGATACTTGAAAAGCGTAGACATAGCGAGATAACATATTTATTGCTTTTCTGTTTGAGACACTCTTATACTTACACATAAGATCAGGACAGACTCCAATTGCATTTTTCTCGCAGCATATGCAAGGTCACCCAAAGGTGAAGCATAGGACTTTTTGTTGTTGTTCTTGGGGAGAGGGAGAATCTTTACTCACAGTGAGAGAAACTCCAAAACGACGCACTCCGAGTGCCAGCCAACATTGTCATCTTTGTCTCTGTATCTCATTGTTAGGTTCAGTTTCTAACTGGCCATAGCAGCCCATCTTTTCATGGACAGCGAAAGGCAAATGTTTGTGAGTGTCTTTCCTTTAAAAGAAACCAAAGCTTTCCTGTCCCTTTAAAGAGTGCCAAGAGGCGGATGGAATGCTGTAAATATTTCTCTCTGTAATAAATATTGATATTTGTGCAGTCTGCAGTGGGGGAGGATGAGGTGATTAGACCTACTGGAAATAGAAGTATCGACCATATGAGCCTTGGTGGTTGCAGCAAAATAGCTACCAGAGTTTGTTTAATGGAATCAAAACCAGACTTGAAAATGCCCAGCCTTAAGTCTCCTTGTGGAGAGGCAGTGTGTGCTAGCCATGGACTCGCTGCGTGATCCCAAGCTAGTTGTCATCTCTCTCTGATTCTTTCGCCATCCCTGAAATGGAGAGAGTACTAATAATTTGGGGTGCATGAGCATTAGCTAATGTTTCTGAATATAAAGTACTGTTCAAAACCTGGTTGAAGTCAGTGAGGTCAAGAGTGCTCAGTACTTTGCAGGTCTGGGGGCTAAATCCTGCTGCTACCCAAGCAAAACAATCTCTCAGCAGCAGGACTCAATCAATATGCTCCCAAAAGATTAATAAAGGGTGTGAGAAGTGAAGGGAGGCCCTATATTACTGAGGTCAGAGAGACTCATAACCGCAGTGTTGGGCAGTATGAATCAGCTGTCTTAGTAGAGGATCAAATACTTCTCATCTGCATTTGCTTAAACATCATACATTGGGATCTGCCAGCATGGACCACTCGGCTCATGCAGAGTCATGCTGAAGTTGTTGGGACTCCCCCTGGGTGCAAGGATCCATACTGATGGATCCATATGGAAGATCGGGGCCTTAGTCTGCGCTCAATCTGTGTCTCAAAGAAAATTCCATTTTGATAATTGCCTGACAACCTGCACCATTTCAGCAGAAGGGTGTGAGAGGACTGTGTCAAATTATTGCTGTGTAGGTTAAGAACACTACATTAACTACACAGTGAGAGTCCCAGAATGTTAGTTTCTAGTCTAAATGCAGCCAACAGAGGGGCAGGGGAGGGGGAAAACATTCAGAGAAGTACTCAGGAAACTTGCTGTTTTAATTACAATTCATTAAAAACCATGCCAAGTTCACTTTCTTCTGATAATCCGCCTTTGAGAGTTTCTCTGGGTCCTATTAATAGCCTGAAAGAAATACTAATGACTGACCCTGTGCAATAAGCCAAAGCTTTTGACATTCACAATAGCCTAAGCTTTGCAACAAGAAGGCTCTGATTTACTGACATATTGGGAGAGCAGGGCAAGGAAAGGAATATGAGAAGCAGCACAGAATACAGGCTGCCCGTTACCAAGAGAGTTCCCTTCTCGGGGACCCTTTGCCTGTATGGTGAGCCTGATGTCAAAGAGAGGACATGTAGAAATGTCGAGGCTGTCCTGGTAAAGGCCTAACATCACAGTGTTTTGTGTAGCTGATAAATTTAATACCCAATCATTAGAGCAATTGCTAACCTGACATGTTTGCTGCTGACATTACAGAAGATTGGAGCACATCACATTTGTGATAGCCCCTAAAAAATTCGGTTTTGACGGGGTGTTTTTGTTTGGTGGTTTTTTGTTGTTCACAAAGATCCACCAAATGGTTTATGTGAATGTTTTTGAGCCCTGCAAACAAGCTATGACCATTGGTTCAGGTATTCATAGTTCCCCAATTGGTCAGCCAAGTCAAATGGTCTTATTTTTGCTTTCAGGATGGTTCCCAAGCACTTCTATGCTGAATACTTACTTGCACCAGACTGACGATAAGGTTCGAAGACTGTGAAAGCAAAGGCCTGGTTTTTCTTCACCCAGAATGTTAGTGAACGATAGTTTGCAGTATCCACTCAACTCTGTGTAGCACCTAATGGCCCAAATGCCTTCATGTCCATTCATTTTAAATCCTTTATTTAACAAGGCCTACACCACTTTTTCTCCCTGGAATGGCTGGCTTTTTGCATCTCCCTGAGCTTTGACTCCTGGCAGGAAACATCATACAAACTCTTTGCCCTTCTCTATGTCCAGTTCCTCAGGTTTTCTTCCTTTGTTGAGTTCTTTTCTCCGGTCAAGGCTGAAATCCTGAGTGCATTACAGAGCCTAGATCCCCTGCACATCTATGTAGGTGTGTCTGCCTGAGCAGCTCTCTGCAGAAGATTTCTTTACCGGAGAAATACCATGTCCATGGTTGTGCGTGGGTGTTTTACCACTCCTTTGCTGGATGAAATATGTCAGTCCTGCCTAGTTGTTTTGTTTTTGTCCCTTAGCAACTCTCTCGCCCTCTGCTGGCTGGTGGCTTGAAAAGAGGCTGTATTATTCCTAATCCTGTTGAAAGGTAAAGAAGATTAGGGAAAAATTACAGTGATTACAGGGCCTGGAGGGATTGATTTATGAGGAAGGATGAAAAGAGCTGAACATGTATAACTTGGCTAAGTGATGAGTAAGGGGATAATATAACTATATATATTCCTTGAATACTTGTAAGCACAGAGTAGGGAGAGAATATTTGAGGTTAATAACTAGGGGTATTTGGAGCCAACTGAGCAAAAGGGGAAAATGTTTAACTGATTACCAGGAGCATTTTTCAAACAGTAAAATCTGTTAGACTGTGGAATAGTCTCCCAAGGGAAGCAGCAGAAGCCTCAGTATTTAAAGCAGGTAAAATGGGACTGGAATTAGAGGTGTAGTATAGGGAACACCAGCTGGAGTAGGGATAGACTAGATGTGACCTAGCAAGCCTGTTCCATCTCTACTTTCTATTATTCGCCTATATAATGGAAGTTTAAAGGAAGTTTGTGGTATGAAACAGCCTGTCCCTTTAGGGCAAGGCCCTGGCAGTCTTTGCCCTGTTCTCAGCTCCTTTGTGAGTAAAGCTTCAGATCTCAAAATGGTATTTTCTTTGTACTACAGGCAACTGACTCCAGGTTTGGTTGGTGGGGAGGCACTGAGTTTGCCTTAGATGAAATGATTCCACATCCATTTTAGTGCTTCCCTCCCTGCACAAGGCCAAACTTGGTTTGGTGTTATAAGTCACTAGCCTGCTTTGTTTCAAGGGTTTTGACATCCGAGCAGAAGCTGTCATTTCTGGAATTTCTGTGTCTGGTGCTGCTATTTAAATAATTCCATTTAATCTTCTGCTCGTGAGCGGTATCCTGAGCCATCAAAGAGCCCACTCCAAGGGGTAGCAAAGTGCTAACCAAATGCCTTTCCACTTTGAAAGCCTTTATTAAAAAACCCTATACAAGAGTCCCAGCTTATCAGCAGGCTTGCGTCTGCTGGGACCTTGTTCTTTAGCACCAAAATGCTATGACAGAGAGCTGTGGAGGTCATATTGCCTGATTCTTCCCATAGAGGGTGGGTAAGGGGATCTCCCAGTGCTTAAAGTGAAGCAAGAGAAATCAGAACAGGAAAACTGCTGAAGCCTTCATAGCGTCTAGCTATATTAAGAATGCCCTGTAGCTATATTAAGAACTGTCATGACAAACAAGCATTTTAAATAAACTAGCCACAGCCCTGCTGCTAATGGGAAACATTGTAGGCAGAGGGAGAAAGGGGAGATGTGTGTGACAAACACACTATTTTGAATGTTTAGGATGCAAATCTTTTCCTGGTGCTCTAGCATAATAGGGCCATTGCATGCAGCTGTTCTCCTCCTGTGCCAATGGAATCCTTCCTCTCCCTGGCGTGCAATGCCTGTCCTATGCAGTCTAAACACCCAGACAACACAACTCCACTTAAATAATATATTCTATTGCTAATAAACATTTTAAATGGATTTTTACCAAAAATCTCACTACATTCTATACATGTGACAATTTGGCTGGGAATGTTGTTTAAGGATTAGAGTAGAGAGCCTGAGAGTCAGGATTTCTGGGTTCCATTCTTGCCTACTGCTGATTCACAGAGAGACCCTGGACATGTTGCTTAGATCCAAGAGTTCAGCATTAGCTACTGATTTGGGATACCTCCGTTTTTGTTGCCCTACATGAGATGCACATAAAGAGTCTGATTTGCCAGAGACGCCGAGTGCCCACAACTCCAAAAGAGGTGAAGGGAAGCTGGTCTGTGTGCTGCTCTGATGCCCTCCCAATTTCAGGAATTTGACAGGGGTAAAACATCCTTAAGAATTATTCCTGTAACATTGATTATTTTTTTAGCCTACGCCTAGAATGTTTCCCATTAGCAGCAGGGTTGTGTTTTCCCCCTGTCACTGGCAGTTCTCCTTTCAGTTTCCAGTGCTCTCAGTATTTGCCTGTCAGGAGGACTCAATTCAGCAGTCTAAATGAAACAAAAACAGAATGACTTGAATGAGCTGGGACATCAGGGGGAAACTCAATGGTGACTGCACTCTGGAGAAAAGACATAAAAAATGTTCAGAGAAGGATAAATAACCAACATCAAAGATGCATTAAAAATACAGCAAAGCTTCAGTCCTCATATTTCAGTATTTCATTGTACCATAAACCTTAAGCCAATAATACAGAGAGCTGTGATGTTGTATATAGTTACTTGCTAGATAAAGCTTGGTGAACAGTCTGATCTGTATATTGAATGTGTCTTCAGTGAAAACTTGATCCCCACCCTAAGTACCCTTCAGCCTTTAACCCTTTATCCCAAGCTTGTCAGGATCAGCAGGTGAGAGGCGCAGGGCTAGTGTATGTGGTAGCAAAAGGGCCCCGCAATGTTAATGCGGATGGGGCAGCCCAATTTTTTAGATTAGATACTACTTGGGGGAATCATTTGGGTTAAAAATGTAAAGCCATGCACTGACATTTCTAAAGGCAACGCTATTCGGAAGCCACTGGGCTGAATAACCCAAAATGCAAAATCTAAATGCAGGCCAGTCAGGCTAGTTTTAAAAGGGGGGCAGTTTTTGAAACTGTGAAGGCTTTGAACGTGTTTATCTCTGTTTAAAAGGCTTCACAGAAGGGAAACGTCACTGTTCAATTTCCAGTAAGCAATAGTGCAAGGGGACTCCCTTCTGCAAGGGACATGGTTACCTCTTACCTTCATAAAGGCTCCCAGTTTGAAAGGAAGACCTTGATTTTTTTTTCTTGCCTCACAAAAATCCCCCCCTTTCCAACACTCCTGTTCTAGTTCAAGACAATGTGAGAAGCCAAATAGTACAAAAATAGATGGTGAGCATTTCTTCCCAATTATGTTAAGAACAAACATCTTATATCAAGCTTTCGTAAGCTCTCTACAACCCTTTGTGATCCCCTCAATGTTTTATTGTACCTGCTGGCAATGGCTCAGATGTGCGGGGACGTTGTGATGACAGCTTGGGGATAATCTTCAGAAAGAGGGTTTTCCTTCAGCAGGTCAAGGTTCCATTGCATATGCATATCTTTCTGCTGCATCAGCAGTAGGTGAGTGGTTAACGCACCTGAGTCTCGTGTGTTCTGCCCCGGTTAGTAACAAACACAGACCGGACTAAACAAGCAGCTCACCACCTTGCGTGGCTATCTGAGACTCGTCGCTTTGGGGGCTTTACATGAAACAAATCAGGCCACAATTCAAATGACACCATTTGTTTTGACTGTATTGTTGACACTGAAGTTGTCTCTGTGTTTATCTTTTTCAGTCTAAAGAGTCCCATTTGCCTTTGTCTTATCCAGCCTTTCCCCCCCTCCTGTGTAAAAAGTCTTCCCCCTCCCCCCCGCAATGGGCAAATAACTCAGATTGTCAGGTTCCAGTAAAGAACCCAGAAGTTGGGATGCTTATCTGAACTCTCCAGGACTCTTAGGTCTGCAAAATCAAACCAGAAATCTCCTGCGCAGGCTTTCTTCTGAGATTTCTAGCACTTCCTGCTGCAGATAGGCTGGGGAAAGGATGAAAACAGCCTCTCCTGTAGTATTTTTGTCATTTCCAGTCAGACAGTACATGGATGTGCATATAGGGGAAGCCATCAAAAAGTAAATAAGCATCGTTCCATAATACTGACTCTGCCATGTTATTTCTTATACTCAAAATGTACTACCGCAAGATACCCCTATGGTACCACGGAGAGTGCTCATTCGTTAATGGCTCCTTCTGCAGGGACACTGATATGGAAAATGGGTTTAGGGGGTGAGCAGGAAATGGGAACCAAACTTTCTTGAAGCTCAAAAAAGGATTGGCTTGAGTTTTTGGATAAAGATTTGCTGGGGGTGGAACGGCTTCTTATTCTGTTTGACCCATCCCTTAAAAATAAATGCATACCAGTTACAAGGCAAACTGTCATGGATAATAAATTGAACTGCATACTTTGCCCACCCCCACACAACCGTAACCTTTCTCTAGCTTTTCCCCCCTTCCCCTTATATTTGACACACTGGAGTTCTGTATTATATTTTTTTTAAAGATGGTTGTCTGGTTTTTGTTGTTTTTACAAGTGTTGTGGAAAAAAATGTAAGAAAGTTTAAGTATTTAAAAATGTTCCAAGGAAAAAAGGTTTTTTTGTTATTCTAATATATGATTGTGTACCTATTGTAAATATGAAACACTCCTATTTTGCAAGCCAAGGACTCACTTTGTACTGTTGTTATATATAAATAAAGTTTACTGGATAAAAAAAAAATCCCAAGTGGATCCTTATTTTCTAGCATGGAGTGTGTGGGATTCATTGTATGTGGTGAGAATACTTGCAAGAAGTATTTACTTGCTACGTCGCACCAGTAATAAATCCGTAACCAGAGATCCAAAATGAAGTATTTTAATGTCAGATTTATTTCCATAGCATGCCAAGGGCTTGGAAGCCACAAGGCTGGACAAGAAGGTAAAACATTGCCCCCTAGCTTCAAACATACAAAAGACACTTTTTGGTCTATGATTAATGGGGGTGAGGAGAGAATATTTTTTCCAGTAATAAGTGAAGTAAATCAAGTTGTTTTCCTTGTTATTGGAATGGAAGTGAGGAGGGAGGACACATGGTAACAACTTGCTAAAGAATCTCTCTTTTTATCTTTGTCCTAAAGAGCCAAAAAAACATGGGAGATCAAGATAACCCGGAATGGCTCCTCTTCATCAAGAGCAGACGAAAGAGAATGGTGAAGGGAAACACAACCACAAGTGGTTGTATCTGAAGCATTTCTGAAATAACTCCCTGTGGCTGGATGCTTTATATCTGTTTGAGATGAGACAATTTATCTATCGTGCACAAATCTCTTTTAAAAGCTTTCCTCCTCCCCAGATAGACAGACAGACATATTAACTTGTAGAGTGTCAAAGTGGGAGGCAGAGTTGTCCAGTGGTTAGAACAATGAATGGGGAGTCATGACTCCTGTGTTCTGTTTCCAGCTATGCCACTGAATCACAGAGCCCGTGAGCCAGCCAAGCACTTACATATATGGCGGCAGCTCCTCGGCTTCTGTATATTGTCATAGCTTCACATTTACACCAACTGAGGATAGGTCCCACTCTTTGGACTACTCACATGTTTAAGTGCTTTGCTGGATTGGGGCCTGAACGACATTAGTATTCGTCTAGGGCCTGATTGATTATCCATGGATAGTGTAATGACTCCCACTGGATCAGGTCCTGAAACGCTTCATGCCTCAGTTTCCCCACCTATAAAACGAGAGTAATAACGCCCACCTCTTTCAATTTTTGAGATCCTTCTATGTAAATACAAAGAACCATTATCCTTCTGAAATATCCTTAAGCTCAGAAATGTCATGTGAGGTTTGTTGTTTTATCAACTCAGAGGCAGGAGAGCTCAGTTCTCCTTCCCAAATGCATTACTGACTTCATCCCATAAGAGAGAGCTCTAGGGGGATCTTTTATGGGCTAAGGTAAATAATGAATAGTTTGAATTTGCTTAGGGGAGGAGCATGTGAATACTGTTTACAAATAAAGGCAGGGATGAGGTCTGAGCTTTCTCCCCTCCCTGGAGGTGACATGGATTTGCTTCCTTTTCATAAATTCAAACTAACATTTTAGCAAGCGCTGGGAGCTGTCTGCTGAGTGGTGGGAATCGATGAGTGACTTGCTCAACAGCCTGTCAACTTTAATGACCAATATGGTTGCAATTACAGCGATGAACTTTCTCTAACAGCCTAAAATTACTCTGGTTGATGAGAAGAGACAGAAAAATGGAGTTCTTTAAGGAAGCATAAAAAGGAAACGTGGTTTTCTGTAACATCTCCAAAAAGGGGCTTAGCTTGTTTTTAATTTAGAGGGAGATTAAAGAGGATAAATCCAACATGGGATGTGAAAGCTCTAAACACCACACACAGCAGATAACAGCAAAGAGTTGGGTGCTGCATCTGATCAGGACATTGTTTTATGCAGGTATATGGCATCTTGGCTGCCTGTTTTAGTGTTTTGCTAATAGGCAGCCATATTCCGCTCCTATGTGAAGCCAATGCAAATATATCACGTTAGTGAGACAATATGATCCTTTGGCAGGTCAGTTTGTCTTGTTTCCCTCAAAGCTAGATAAAGCTTCACATGAACAGCAGAAACTATACTTAATCAGAATTACATTTTATGTGGGATGCACTTCACAGGGCATCATCTGCACTGGCAAAGTCAAACAATGCTTAGTAAAGTTAATATAAAATGCAGATAGTGCTGTGGCGTAAAGCCCTCGCCCTGTCAGCTTTTCATGTCTAACTCAGCAAGCTAGCTGGCTGCACAGATTCCTCGTGCTTTCCCTTTCGAGCGAGTCACTGAAAGGGCAACTTCAGAAATCAATTGTTCCTTTCAATTTCACCCCCAAGGGAACTCCTGAGCCTAAAGCTCGTGGGAAAGAATATTTTTCCCTTTCCAATGGCTACTTCCTTTCCAGTCTTTCCACTTCACCACCTCCTCTGGGCCTTTTAATCTCCCTTTGACAGCATCCTTAATACCAGTTTTGCTAGAGCGACCCCAGTCAAGATGGACATAGTTACAGGTGGAGGATATAGCACCCTCCCTCGACAGAGCAGATGCCTGTCACTCCCCAGTACCATTCTCCTGTTAGCTATCTACCCAGGCCTGGCAAAGGCTAAAGTGCTATTTGAGAGAGCTTATAAAATATGCATGAGGCTGTGACCTAGTCTATAAAGTCTTGTACTGTACAGTTTGGCCTCCTGCAACTGGCCTCTGGCATGCAGCTACCAAATTGTCCTTGTTCCAATACAACAAACCATAACTCCAGCTACAAAACTGCTATTTCAAGACGGCGTCGTCTTTCGACAATTGACACCGTAATAGTTTAAGCACTGATGTGAGCACTAACTCAACGACTAGAGGGCAGATCCTCAGCGGGTGCAAATTGTCATCACTCTATTGAAGCCAGTGGAGCTATGAACATTTACACTAGGGGAGGATCTCACTACAGCCTTGAGTCTCAACAACAGACCGTGCTGCTTTGCGATCCACACGCCAATACATTTTTATGGTGTGTAGCTTTGAATTCTTTGGTGAAGGAGGGTTTGGGTTTGCACGCGGCCGGAGGCCGTGCGCGTGTGACTGAGTGCACGTTGGTAGTGAAGGTGCAGTGTGTGGGATATATGTGATTGCAATGTACGGGTCTGTGTTGTGGGAGAGGTGTTTGCCAATTAGCGATGGAAGTGGATTACTGGATGGGGATTCTTATGTGCATTGTGAGGGAAAGAGGGGATGTGGGTTGTGGAGGGTCCTGTTGTGCCTGACAGCAGGCGGAGTGAGGTACAAATCCACAGACAGCAAGAATGAGCCATTTCTGACAAATAGTGGATAAAAAGAGGGAACTGTACCAAAAAAAAAAAATCTAAGTGAGGTGAACAAAATTACTGCTGATCTGTTAGCATCTTGCAGTGCTTTGGTCTCTGGTCCAGTAATCATGGCTCCATTCGGTGAATCTCATCTCCATGTCCCTGCACCAACACCAGCCCTTACCCTCCTCCACTCCCATCTGTCTGTATTAATGTCAAGCTGTCTCAGAAACTATTTGCTTAGTTTTGATGGCTGCACTTGGCAATTTTAATACAGAGGTTTATTTTCTTCATGAAATAGTAGCAGCGTGGTTTTTTGTTTACTCTCTAGTCCCTAATTTTTAGTTTTCTTATCCACAAATTCCTCATTTTCATTTGTACTGGGCTTGCTTTCATTTTACCTTCTGAATATACTGATGCAACCCTTGCTTATTAGTTTCAAACAGTCACTGGACTAGCAGAAAGTTTTCTGAACATGCATTCGTCTGCCTGTCTGCTTATCAAGACAAGCTAATGGAGGTGGCATTTTTTAATTATCAAACACAACCATGGCATCAATTTTGACCTGATATTGTTTTAAATTCCAACATCTTTCTTTTTCTACAAACACCTAGCTTGAGCGTAACACATAATTGGATATAATCAGACAGTTGTTTAAAACTGAGAATGATAACTCAAAAATCTATTGCCTTTTATTCCAATAAATATTCTTTTGTGTTAGTATGTATAGATGGCTAATGCATTTGTAATTTAAATTTAACGTGAGCTCCTGGTGACAGACAGCGAAATATATTATAAAACTACTGGGGGAGGAGGTACAAAACTTCAGAATTTCTTTCTCCCCTGGGGAGAAAGATTCGCAAGCAGAATGTTTATTCCCCTAATAATGGATTTAGCTTGTTGGCCAATAAGTAACCCCCTTCAGGTGTAATGAGTGAACTCCCCTCCCCAAGCCAACGTGACATTAGTAGAATCTGATTATTTATATTATGTCCCAGACTGACTCAGCATTTGGGAAGCACTGAACACACTGGCAATAGCACCTGGTACTATGTGATGGCATTGTGCTCTCCGTTTATGGCTCAGAAAATATAATAATTTTCTGACCATTACTAATATTTCTAATCATAGGATAGGGGAATTCAGATCTCTTGCTTCAGGAGGTGCAAGGTGCTGTGTACTCTGGCCACGACCCAACA